TTAGGCACATCAACAGCTTTTCAAATCTGGCCTTACAGCTTTGGTCCTCAAAGTGTCATGGAACCAGCCTTTAGCTGGTTATGGCATTTCCAATGACTAAGCACAGGTGAGCAACTCCCACTGGTGTAACATTTTATGGGGAGTTGGACATTACCTAAATTTTAAGGGTCTGCACCAAAGGAGTGGCTCAAGTTACTGTCTGAAAGTACGTAAGTATTTTAAACCTCTGGTCTTCCCTATAAACTGTCAGAGGACTCATCTGTTACTAAAAAAAAAAAAGGTAGTAATTTTTAGTCCTTCTAAGTGGGAAAAAAAGGGGGGAGAGGGGGTTTGCACAGAAATATTCTTATGTATCAGAGAGGAAAAGTCTGCTTAAAGCACTGCTTTGTAGCCATGTAGTCAGGTCTCCTCCTGCAACTGTTTCTGACACGAATTAAACAGCATTCAGACCTACCCTGGTAAACAGCATATTCTTTACTGTTTTACCAAGTGCAGTCCTAATTTTCATCTTATACTTTCTATTTGTTGTGAGATTTGGTTGAATAAATTCTAGCTCCGTAATAAACATCTCTCGGAGTTAATGGACCAGCAGAGAGTCTGCTGAGCTCCAAGCTGCACCAGCGATGCCAGTGACTCCCAGGGAATTATTTGCAGGTGCAGGCACTTGGCAATGTTGGGGTTTGCCAAACACAAGCAGTAATGACTGGCATAAAAAATTTGGCTGGTGTGTTAGATAAGCTGGGCACGCTGCAAAGCTGCAAAGCCATGGCTCACAGATCTCCTGCCCCCAGTTCAGCAGCAGTTCCACCAGATATCTGCCTGCCATCAGGAGAAGAGCCTTGTTGCTGTAGTTGTAACACAGGCTGTGGCACAATGTGATGCTCTGTTGCACAACCTCTAAGGACGTAATGGGGATGATATGGAGGAAAGTGAAGAAAACCTGTACCATCAGTTCATACTCATTAATAACTGGGATTTTTTTCACTTTCTTTCATTTCTCTTTCTTAACTTTTTTTTCTTTTTTTTCTTCGCTTTTTTTTTTTTTAAAATTACTTAATGTAAAATTGACAGCACCGATTTTCATAGCTACATCAATTTTTAGTTGCAACAAGTTAGGAAACAGAAGATGTGTGCACACTGTCATCATTTGTCCCTGCTGTGTGAGCCTACAGTCCCAGCCCTCACAGCCATACCTACCCAAAAGGCAGGTGCCCAGCCTTCCAGGTTTTCTGTGGGTGTTGTATCAGGCACACCCAGCCTTGGTCCTTGCAGGGTCAGCCAACTGCTTTTTCTCCGAAGATTTTTTGATGTGTAGCTAGCTTGAGAGTGGGCTGTGCTGGTGGCCAGGATCAGAGCTGAAGGGAGTGGGTAGGACAGGCAGGAAGTGCTGGGATGGGGGCCCAGGTGGGAGGACACACACAGGGTGAGTGCCAACCCACGTGGCTGAGCTGATCTTGCATTCTTCAGGGGCTTTTTAATTTCAGTGGGCGAAGCCTGATTTGCAGATAGAATTTGGGCCTTTGGGCTAATTTTATTTAATCTTACAAGATCTCCTGAGAGATTTTTAATGGGAACTCTGTATTAACTGTCCCTACAGCTGCACATCCAAAGATTATTTAAACTTGAATGTCTTCTCAGCCTATCATTGAAAATCATAAACTATCACTTTTACCCTTTTTGCCAAGCCCTTGATTCTTCCTTAGTCCCTGTGCTGTTGTAGCCCCAGTGGCTCTCTGTGAGGCTGTCTCCTCCTCTTAGAGTTTCTGACAGTGGGATTTTCTAAAACAAGACATACTCATGTCATTCTTCTTTTCCTCAGCTGTAGGAACCGTCTATCAGTAGTAGCAATACTGGTGAGCCCAGAGTTTTCAGCTAAGCTTTAAACATATAAAATGGGGACTATAGCTGAAGCCCAGGTGGCAACTGGAAGAGGCCAACCAAGCAGAAATAAAAGACACAGAGGGGTTGAATGACTTCAGTAAAGACACGTGGAAAGTGAGCAACTGCCCCAGAAATAACAAGTCCCATGAGACCTTGGTTAATGTTCTGCTCTTTGATCTGCCTGTCTTTTGGTGACTAATCCTACCTGGCACTGAGGGATGGATGTGCTGTATGGAGTTGGGCTGTCCATGGATTTCTTGCATGAGAAGAATGGCATTTGAATCACACCCTAGAATAATCTTCACATGAGCTTATGTGGGAGGTGCACGTGCCTTCAAAGGTGTAGGGCTTTACTTCTAAAAATTACCTTGGTGATAATGGATGACTACAAACACCCTCTCAGTATTATTTATGTAGTTTGCTTCCAACTCCATTTTTTTTTCTTTTTTTTTGTAGGGGTGTTGGGGTGTTCTTCTGGGGTCTGGTTGAAGTTTTATGGTCTGCGCATTTGCACACTGTCAGGTGTGGGCATGAGAAATGCTTTACCCTTGACACTTGGCTGTTTCTCTCATCTGACAAAAACCTGCTGTGCTCTTTTTGCTGGTTCTGATGCCCCACACTCCACATGTACTTGGCCTGTTTGGTGCTTTAGCATTAAATCATTGTTGTCCACACGTACAGGGTAACATCTCTGGGTAAAATGATCTGTGTTGGCATTGCTTGCACTCAATGACAGCATTTGGTTCAAGCACTGAATTAAATCCCAAGTGGATATAAACCGAGGTGGCTCTGCTGACGTGCAGTTGTCAAGCCCTGCCTAGCCATCTTCTTACCCACCAGTGCAGAGTCATGCCATGGTCTTCATGAGGCTGGTTGAAGCACTGCTGGGTCAGAAATCAGTATAATTGATGATTTCCTTCTTCCTAACATGATGGGTATCAGCCACAGGACATGAGCTCCTGTTTGATTAGCTCTTAGTGTTGACTTGTCCTACTCATATGATGCACAGTTTAATATGTGGAATGTTATATTTGAAAACTTATTTTTTAAATACCGTATTTATGTGGGGTTTTTTTCGTAAAGTCTAAGCAATAAATTAAAAGGGATAAATAATGGGTAGATACGCCACAATACACATTAATTTCTTGATGTTTTTATCATGTATGTAATGCAAAGTACCATAACCAGTTACTTCATCATCATCATTAACACTGAGAATTAAAACTTACATATATAAAATGTTATTATGCAACACCTTCATTTTCTTCTGGTATCTTAGTTAGCTCCATTATCACAAATGAGATACACTCTCTTCTACCAGCACCCACCAACAAAATGGTGTTCCCATGTAGTATGGGACAGGGTTCAGCACCACCTAGGAGGGATGCAAATGATATAACGTGTGTGCTTGTAAGGCTGTAAAGAGCATTGAGGTGCTGCTGTTACAGTAAATGAGATTGCTGTTGACATGGCTTCCCACGAATTCCTATGATTTGCAAAAGATGATGTTGAACAGCCAATTACGTTATATTACTGCTGACTATGAAACAAGGATCTAATCTGAATCTCATTGATGCTAATGAACATTTTTACACTGACTTCAAAAGGTGCTGTTGGATCAAGCAGCAAATTATTTTCCTCCAGGGTATTTAAATTTTGATTGTGCCCCACAAAACTAGAATCTCTGGGGTCTAATGAGCAGTGCATAACTCTTGCCCTGTTACAAGGAAAACGTAGAGGCTGACATGGATGAAACAAGGTGGTTCTTTCCTTCTGCCAGCTATTTGACAGTTGCGACAAATTGTCTTCTGCCATGAGGTCCTAGTAGAGACTCAGTTGTTGGTACAGAGGGCAGGGTCAGCAGTATAAACTTTCAGAGCTTCAAAAAAAACTCCAACCACAAGGTGTTTCTATAAAGCACATATTTCTGGCCTACTTGAATCCAGCTGTGTGACTTTCAGGTCAGGAAGAGGAATTACAATACAATCTTAGCTAACTTTTGATTCTCCACAAAAGGTCTTAACAAAATTGGATGAGTTTTATATGAATATGTTAGCAGGGTGTAGAATAACTCTTTGCTTGCCTTCTTCTCACTGAACTGGTAGGTAGCCTTTCTAGTGTGAATAGAGGCCTTTTTTTTTTGTAATGAAAGACTTATGAAAATATAATAAGTGAATGGAAAGAGAAGCACAGCAAGTTCTGCATCTTTTCATTGATCTGTTATTTTTAGTAAATCACATGTAATCATAACACAAAATCCTTGAAATATGATGTGACAAATATAATCAGAAATCAAGCTCAACCTGAAAATTAAAGGCATCGGCTCGCACAGTTCACGAAAGCAAGAACGTATTTTAGACAGTCTAGTTAGCATACTGCAATCTATTTAGCAATGTAGTTAGCATACCACTGCATCTGGTGCAGTGCTCTGTTCCTTATTAATTTTCAATACATTTGTTCACCTGCTTTATACTTCAGATCTGCGGGCTGCTGCCAGATGTGCTATGCCATTTCCTCGGACTGAGTCCAGGGTTTACCGTTCTACTCGCCTGATACTGCAACTCTTTCAACACCTGCCCTTGCCCTAGGCAGGGGCAGAGGAGATGGGTGTTAGGAGGGCAGTTCAACATCCAGTGTGAACACATGAGGCGAAAATTAATTATAGCATACACTATATGTGATAGAAATGAGTTACTGCCTAATTATGTCTCCTGTTTCCATTCAGATGATTTAATGCTTGTTGTGAGCCCTTGGGAATTCAGACACACTTTAAAGTTGTAATGAGTGCTATCATTATTGCTTTTGACAGTCATTGAGGTATAATTATCTGATCATATATTTAAAAAAAAATCAAAACTTGTTATATATGAGTTTTAAACTGGCAAATTACGGAATAGTCACCTTAGGAGCACAACTGCTCCGCTATTTTCTGTAGTGGCACTGCCATCTCCTGGAAAAACCGAAGTTGTGCTTCCAAATTTTTCACCTTGAAAGAAACTTCTCAAGAGCAAGGGAGAAGTTAAGTACAAAAGCCAACAAGCTCTTAAATTTAAAGCTTTAGGAGTTGCTAAGGTGCCTGGTTTCAGCATAGAAATTTTTTCTGTTCTTTGTTATTGCAGGATTGTGCTGAGGAGCAAGAATGGATGTGGTGTTTGGAGTGTTGTGGGCTACTTTTATCAAAAGGAGATGGTAAGAATAACTAGATGCTCCAGCGGTTTGGTGTTTCTTTACAAAGCGTAAGTTCCCTAAACACATAATGAATTGCCTATCAAGAAATTGTGCACTATCACAGTCTGTTACCCAGAAACAGATGCTTTCTGATTATAGGATTTTAGCAGTAAAGAGGTTTGTATTGCAGTTTTCATCTGAAAGGAGATGGCATTGTATATTTTTGTCTGCTTTCCTGGCCTTTCCTGAGCCACCCTGTGCTAATTAGCACTGACCATCCTACCAACTTACTAAAAAGGGGTTCTGGCTGTGGTTGAAGGATTTCCCCCAACTCCAGACACACCTCTCATGTCTCTAGGTGCTATGCTAATTTTCTTACTCAGATTTTACATTTGTCCATATCCCCAGTTGTCCTCTGTCCCAGTACCAGGTTTTCCACCCAGTTTGGACTTTGGACTGCCATGTGTGACCTTCAGCTTGAAGGGGAACTGTAGTAAGAGCCACTCACACTCTTCCCAGGCTCAGCTTCACAGGCTGGGTGCAAGGTCAGATAGAGGATGAAGATGTGGCTGTGCCCACAGTAGAGAGGGACTCTCTGCCTTAGCTCTCTCTTGCAGAAATGAGTAGGAGATGGGCACCCACATCTCATGTGGGGCTGCCCTTCCTCGGGAGACCGGCAGGTGAAGCGCGTTGCTGCCCAGCCGTGTTGCTGCTCAGCTGTGCCATCTCACGAGCAGGGCTGAAATCCCCCTCCAGCTACTTCACCCCTGCCTTTTCTGTTTGCACAGCCACAGGGCTATGGGAAGAGGGCTCTTGTTCCAGAGAAACAGTTTCTTAAGGCTTTCTCAAATTATGGATTTCCATTCAACTACAAAAGATTAAATCCTTCCTCACTTGCTTTTTTGACATCACCTATGAGACCGTGCACTTTACACCACACCCTCCAAATTAGAATACAATTCTAAGTACTTTTGAATTTACCAGGCCTTGTTTTCAGGCCTGGTATTTCATATGAAATATTTTCATATTTTCAGTCCAAATTCCATTTACAATTGCTGTCTCTCTGCTAGGTAGGAGCTGTGTGTGAACTATTCATGTTTTATTATCCTCACTCTGCTGTAACAGTGGCCCATCACTCCTACACCTGCCTCAGCTGGGCCCATTCCCATCTCTGCAGTGCTGGAATACAGGTATGTTGGATGCTCAGTCAGCCAGCCACACACAGCTCCAAATGAACAGTTCCCTCTCCCATCACACTCTGTATGCTGCAGGGATGCTGACCTCAGAGACATCCAAAAATTGGATTCACATATTTTTTTTCTGCCTGTGATGCATGTAAGATGTCAAAGCTGCTGCAGAGGAAGTTGCTATCACTTGGTTGCCCAGCCTTTCATTTCTTACTGTGCATAGTGTTGAATTGCTCTCTGAAATAATCCTCTGGATAGTAGGATTGTGGAAAGTGGCACCCATTCCCTTGACTATGGTCAAAGCAGAAGTAATGTCTGATCTGTTGAGGATTTTCCATTTATTAGAAACATTTAATCTGCTCTGCAAGATTTTTATATCATACCTTGTCATAGACCTTTTTCTTATAAAAGAGAGGTTTCCTCTTAGGCAAGAAAACTTTTCCTGTGGTATTGTGGGATATGTTCATGCCAAGTCGATTACTTAGTAGTCTCTTCCTACAACTGCACCACTGACAGATGAGGAACATTTGCACATCTGCAAAAAGAAGAGAGGCAACAGACTCTTTTTCCTCCCTGAACACATTTATTCCCTTCAGCCAGCAATACTTTTCTCTCAGGCTTAGAGCAATGTTTGATATTAGTTTCACAATAAGCCTATCTGGAGACAACATCAGCAATGCAGAGCTTTTACCCAAGACAGATTGTGAAACCAAATTGCTTCTGTTTTTCTAAGTATTCAGATGGGCATCTGCCAAGATTCCTCAGTCATGAGATACTGCGAGTATAGTTCGAACTGGCCTCGTAAATACGGACAGGAATTCCTACAGCACTCCAGAAATTTATTTCTGAAGAGCTCAGTTTTTCTAGCAAGTCATTATCCTCTCAGTTATTCTGTACTGAGTAGCCAACAGTGGCCTCAAAGCAAAAACACAAAACAGAAGCATTCTCAGCATCTTTTTTTTTTTTTCATATGGCAAATGTTTTTAATATGCTGAAAGCTACTGTTTGAGACCACCTGCAGTTCTCAGATGAAGCTCGAGGCTTCCTTGGTACTTCTGATGCTGTTTTGAACTTACACACTCATTTTATGATCAGCTTTTCCTGGTGCCTGTTTTCAACAGAAATGCTTGTTTTAATCAGTGCTAATTTCACTCCAAAAGTAATGATTTTTTTCGCAGTACAAAAATGGCTCTCTTAGAATCCTCTTTTCTATCAAGTGTGCTACGTAAAGTTTGATGCTGTAACATAACGTTTCAATCACAGCATCACCTCCATCCTCCTTTTCCTCAGGAACTCTGCGGGCACTGCTACTTCACATCATGCTCAACAGAACTAGATACACATTTATTCACCCTGACCCAAAAATTAGTACAGTAATACAACCTGTTCTCTTTGTTCATTAGCCAATTGCCTGCCTGAGGGGGCTACTAGAGGGCTGAGCTCAGCAGAAACTCTGGGCACAAAGAAAAGCTTCCTGTGGAAAATGTAAGTCTGGTGCTTCTGGTCTGTCAGCTCCAGCAGACTCCCGAGGTGCAAGAGTTGGGCAGACATGAGAGGCACAGAGAGCATTCACGGAGACACAGGCACAGATTTTCTGCCACAGCCATCCTGCAAGGGGCTCTTGCTGTAGCAGACACCAGGCTGTGGGGCTGAAACCTAAAAGACCCTTCTGGCAACTGGACCATTCCCCAGCTGACACTGAGATCAGCTGAATACAGGTACTTCAAAATCTCTGCACCAGGTGATGATTTGGCCCATTCTACGTAATCTATATTTTTTTTAATCTTTTTTTTTTTTTTAGCAAATGCTGTGTAGTTGTAGATGATCATCCTTCTTAGAAAACAATGATTTATTCCTCTATGAAATATCTCTCTTTGTTTTTAGTCATGTGAGAACAAAATATTGGCAACTTGAGCCTACAAAACAGTTGATTGATTTTCTTTGAAAGTCTTTCTCTCTTGCCTGGCTTCCAGTAAAGCAAAAGCCCTGAGAGGCACAGCAGCTTTATAACAGACATAAATGTTTATGTCAGAGGTACCTGAAGGTAGCCACACGAATCCACTTTTCCAGTCCCTTTCTCACACAACTCCCAACTTTTCCATGGCCTGGTTCTCCTTGGCTTTCCACAGTAAAAGATACCCCTCTACAAGTAGCATTTGGGTCTGGCAGTGTGGACCCAAAATAATTTTCCCCCGTTGAACACTGACAGTCCTGCCAGTCACAGTGTGCACGGAATGTGCCTCTAGAGACCACACCAGAAATGCTGACCCCAATTATAAACCCAGGAGATAATCCAGATTGCCTCTGTACTGGAGTTCTGTTGATGTCAGTGAGAATTTATGGTGCCTCCCAAACATGCTGGGGTCCATCCAGGTGCACCTCTCAAAGACAGCAGGGCTCATCCTACATGTGGCTGTGCCTACAGCCACCAACAGAGCCAGGCTTTGGGAGGTTGGCACCTTTCCCCACACAGCATCTTCTCTAAGGGATGCTTTGCATCATAGTCAGCATGACAAACACCCCCTAAATTATCTGTAGCTGAGCCACAATGAATTCAGGATGAGGAACTTTTATTTCTAAGTAAAGTGAAAGTTTTGCCTGGTAATGGATAAAATTGTAGTTTAACTGGCCCTAAAGGTGGCTGGCATGTAGTTAAGAGGCCATGTTCTCTAGTTCCTACTGTACTAAATGCATCCTCTAGCTGAAAGAAAACAGTGATTATCAGAAAGTCAATTGTCATTCTGCCTCTTTAGAAAAATTCCCATTAAAGATAAAGCCAATTTTAATTAGATTAAGTATCCAATTACTGTAATTACATTTTTTAAAAATTCACATCATGAGGATGACCCTTTTAAAAAGGGTTACAAGAATAATTAGTGTATTCATATTAACCAAAATGTATTGGATAATATTTATACCCAGAAGGCAAAGTACATTACACATATTTCACCTTTGGGGAAAGCTTGCAAATGTTTTGGCAGTGGTATGAATATTTATAGGGAAGAGCGTGCTTTAGCAAGATTATATGAGAAAGCATTTATATGCTCACAAATTTTTACCCAAGGGTAAAGTATACATAAAATGTAGTGCAGAGATTATGGATATGCAAAGTACGATTTAAGCACGGAATTTATATCAGTTTGTTTAATTAATTGGAGCAGAATACTACTTCCCTTATTTATTTTTTTTGGTGACAGAAGGGCCCACAGAATTCCTCTGAACTTTCTTTCTGCTGATCAATGACACCAAGAAAGATGAGAGAAAGGGTCTTTCCCCTGCAAGGCATCATCTTGTCCATAGGTTAAGCCATCCCCTTTAATGTGTTCCTGATCTCATTGTGTAAGCGATCCCATCTGCTACCTGATGTTACCTGAACAACTCACCATGGAGCTGGAAAACATGCAGGCAGCCTCTACTCAACACCACTCATTTAGGGGCAAATCCTCCAGCTCTCAGCAAGGAGAAGACTTGAAGATATGCCAAACAGGTTTGGCAAGAAAGAAGACAAGAAACCACATCCATGTTCCAGGCTACCCACAGAAGGCACAGAGGATGTGACCCATTTTTGTTTCTTAGGTACAGCACCGGCTCAGCACTCGGCAAGGGCGGAAGCTGTGCCAGCCCTTGTGCTGTGCACAAAATCCTCACTGCAGAACAGAGAGCACAACACACCACAGAGACCTTCCCAGAGAACTCTGCTGGTGCAGCCCAGCCAGTGATTTTTGCCTGCTCTGCAGCTAATCAACAGATTTGGGAATTACCAAGGAATTACATTCTTCCTCATAAAAAAGCTCTCAGGCTTCGTCCTGGTGTTTGCATCGACCTACTGCAGCAGCATTTGGTCCTTTGCTACTCAGATACTCTGCAGTGAGAAGTATGCTTGCAACATGCACACAAACACCTCCCTCAGTCAGGTGAGAGAAGCTGTGGTAGCACTGCTTCTGACAAGACTTAGATATATGAGGAGGCTCTTGTGTCAATGGTTAGCTTGATTAAGTTAAAAAATTTCTTCCTGATTTACATTTATATCAAAGATTGTTCATTTTTATAGCAATTTATATGTGGCCAATCAAGAATGAGCAGACAAAAGAAAAAAAAAGTCAGGCTTAAAATGATTCATTCAAGTTCTTCCACATTAATTTTCTCCTCACTGAGTTATCAGCAATCATTCTTGAGTATTCACGCCTTTCCTGGTTTTCAGAACTGTTGAATATTGCTGTACATAATCCAGAGTTTAGTATTCCTTAGGCCATAGACTGTGGCCCATGCAGATCCTGACCTATACACGTGAGAAAGGTTCTAGCTTCTGAAGATGACCCTTCCCTTATGAAAGGAAAAAGTTAAAATAAGTTGCAAATGCTTTTGCAAAGGGATGGTTGTTTCGATGCTCACAGTGCCAGTGTGGATAGCTGCATGAATGTGTACAACTCACTCTGTCCTTTGCTGGGTTTCAAGCTTTCTTGCAAAATAAATTAGCCCAAGAACATCCTTAGGGAAAAAGCATAAAAACAAGGGAAAAAAAAACCCCAAAACTTCTGATTCATACTGGATAAATTGCCTATTAAACTTTGTCCCATAATAAGGAGAAACTGGGAAAGTTGGCAAGCATGGGATAGCAGAAAGACAGGTAAGTGGGAGGAAGACAAGGGTTAAATAAATAGGAATCAAATTAAATTAGTTTCCAATGTTGCCTTTCAGAAGTTCAAAATAAATAATTTGTTAGAGATTTCTACTGATACCTGCTGAATATCTATTACACCAGCTGGAGGGAATTTTGCTATGTAAGAGTTATTTCTGAATATTATAAAGGCTGTACTTATATCAGTTTGGAAACATAAGTCAAAGAAGACATTTAGCACTTACAAGAACACTGTTCTGTGAAAACATCTCTTTCCACGTAATGGCAAACACAAGTCAAACAAATCTAAATACAGTGAAACCCACTTGACGGGGCTGACTTTTGTGATGCCCACATGAGCAATCAGGGTGTTCGTGGTACTCAGGATATGGTCTGAAAAGCACATATTCAGATCAGAATATACTAATGTTATTTTCCCTTCCCAGAAGGTAGAATCGTCTAAAACATTCTCTTGATCTTCTCTGTTATGCTGCTGTTCTCAACATTGTTTTGTGTGTCTAGAACTAGAACTGGGTTCTACAGCAAGCTAAACCAGAAGAATTTCACCTGTGACTTCCACAGATGAAGGACCAGATCTGTCCTTATAGTGAAGTCCAAGAACCCTGCAGGAATTCTGTATTTGACTGTAGAAAAAAAAAAGGGTTTTATCAAGTCTTCCTTTTTATTTTTTTTCAACATAGCTCTTGATGATTGAATCTGTGCAGTCTCTAGGTATAATCCAGTATCAAGTTCCTTGCTTTGGCTTTGAGCTGCTCTAGGCTTTTTGAGTGGCCATGGACCAAGTACCACGTTGGGATCAGAAAGCTGATGATTCCACATGAAATGGTAACGCAGAGCATCAGTCTCCCCATTCCTCTTGGCTTTGAATGATGGGGGGAAAAAGCATTGAGAAAACTGCTTTAAGCATTTAATTTTTTCTTCCAGTGACCTTCCTAGGAACAAGATAAGAGCGGAAAGGCAATCTGCTTTATCCAAACCTAATCAGCAAGGAAGCCCCCAAGTATCAGTGTTTTGGATCAACTGGCTTGATGACACTTGGAATGGTGAAACCACCCTCTGACAGTGGCAGCTCATGTCTAGAAAGGCTCAGGAGGGAGAGCACCAGCTGCTCTCCCAGCTGCTATGTCCTCCCTGCACATCCCAAGAGTTACAAGGGAAAGAGAAGTGATTCCAGGAATGCTGTGCCAGGTTGGTGGTGTTCTCCTTGTGGTCGTAGAAAGTTGTTTTCCTTTTGGCTTAAGGACTGATGCTTTGGGCAACTTCAGCATCATCAGATGCTGAGGATGATGGTCCTAAGCAACTGCAGTGTCTCACTACTGTATGACGCTAAAAAGGTTTTTCTCCTCAATGAAGAGACAAAAGTTGCTGCTTGTGGTAGCACATCCATTGCCAGAGAACAACAACATATTATCCATTGCAGACAGAGGGAATTATTTGTTGTTAGCGAACTCATGACACATTTCTGATCAAGGTGACACTCCTTTTGATGCCTCTGCTTGTTAAGTTGGCCTCTGGAGGCATCAAGAGCTGCTGACAAGTTTAGGAAAGCGACAGGCACTAAAACAACAGCTCCCACAATTCTTATTTCCAGGGACAGAGTGGGGACTCCCAGAAACCCTACTGTGAGGAGCCTGAGACCTGGTAACTGAGCAGTGGGTGAAGGAGCTGTGGAAGGGGACAGCCCAGCTGAGTAAGTTCATAAGGGTTGGTGGGGCCTGGCCAGGGGCTGCCACCTCTCCAGGGCTGAGGTGCTCAGTAAGAATGACTTCTGGAATTGTCCACCCGGTTCCAGCTGTTCAGTCAGTGGATATCTTTCTTGAAGCAATTTAAGAGCCTGTGGTATTCTGCTGCCGTAGCGGTCTGCAGCGTTAGTCAAAGCAATTCTGCTCTCAGCTCAAGTCTAATTAAGGGTAGCTCTTGCGTAAAGTGAGTTAAATTCAGTAGTCACAGCCCAGACCCCATGGAAAATAGTCTAATTCAACTACAGTAATACAGTGTAATATAAATATAATGGAAATACAAAACCATATAATTTAATTTGACATGACTGGCAGTATTTTGCTTAAGTCGGTGAAAATGCACGAGTGCAAACACTGAACTTCCCTCTTCGATCTTTTAGCGTTAGTGTACTCGGAAGGACATTTCAGGATGACTTTGCACAGCAGCAACCCAAAGAAACGCACTGAAATATGCATATTTCAAGCTCTCTTTTGAAAATATGTGCACATTTATAATTTTTAAATGTCTTAGTTGCAGTAAATTGAATTAAGTATGGTCTGTATTTTTCTACACTTTTCCTGTGTGCTCAAAGGAGGGAAACAAATCCACATGGAGAATCCAGGTGAGCCATGGCCTCAAACCAGTGCCTTTAGCCAAGAAGCTTTCCTGCCCCTGCAAGCCCAGCTGCCCCCCCACCAGCAGTCCTGCCACAGGAAAGGTCCTGGCCCCTTCCCAGGCCAAGGGGAGCTACAGGGACCAAAATGCTGCTGCTGCTGCCATCAGCTCCTGGCACAGCAGGACATGCAGAGCTTTGGGCACCCTGTGCCCACCTGCCCCGTCCTGCCATCACTGCCAGCAGCAGAGACCAGCTGGGATCCTGCACAGCAGTGAAAGAAAGGGTGCAGTGTAGATTTTTTTTTTTCTTTTCCCCCCAGTAGGTTTGCAGTGCTACAGGCAAGGAGCAGGTGAGAGCCTGGGAAACACTTATGGGAGGTTAGGAAAATTCATAGAATCATGGAATGGTTTGAGTTGGAAGGGACATTAAAGACCGTCTAGTTCCAACCCCCCTGCCATGGGCAGGGACACCTTTCCTTAGACTAGGTTGCTCAGAACCCCATCCAACCTAGCCTTGGACACTTCCAGGGCTGGGGTATCCACAGCTTCACTAGGCAACCTGTTCCAGTGTCTCACCACCCCCACAACGAAGAATTTTTTCCCAATATCTAATCTAAACCTACTCTCTTCCAGTTTGAAGCCATTCTCCCTTGTCCTGTGCCCTCTCCGCCCTCTTCTGCTCTTCTGAGGTTCGGGGCATTTCCACAAGGACCCAACCCAGACCAGACCCAGGGATCCCAACACCTTTACCTTGAGATCCCAACACTTTCATCCCGGCATCCCAACACCTTCATCCTGGGATCCCAACACCTTCATCCTTGAACCCCAACACCTTCATCCTTGAACCCCAACACCTTCATCCCAAGATCCCAACACCTTCATCCTTGAACCCCAACGCCTTCATCCCAGCATCCCAACACTTTCATCCCTTCATCTCAGGACCCCAGCACCTTCATCCCGTTATCCCAAGACTCTCACATCCCAACACCCTCACATTCCAACACCCTCACCTCGTTATCCCAACCCCTTCGTTCCCACCGCCCCGGGCCCCCCTCAGGCCCCCGCCGCGCGCCTGCGCGCGCCTGCGCAGAGGCCTCGGGCGGCCGTCGCGGCCATGGCGGGCTGGACGTGCTGCCGGGTGGCCGCCGTGTCCTGCCTGGTGCTCTGCCTCTCCCTCCTCCTGCCGCGGACCTTCCTGCCCCGGGGCGGCGGCCGGCAGGAGCCCGGGGCCGCTCCGCACGCAGCGCCCGCGCCGCCCGACGGTAAGAGGCCGCTCCTCGCCGTCGCTCCCCCCCGTCCCTCCCCGCCCCGGTCCCGCTGCCCGGGGTGAGCCCGGGACGGGGGCACCGTGAGGGAGCTCCCCCGCCCGGGATGGGAGCGTGGCGTAGTTCCCCCTTCCCCCATGCTCCTCCCTTAGGGACGTGTGGAGTGTCAGAGGATTCATTCGTTGTTATCGCTCTGATTTACCTCTTTTTTTTTTTTTTTTTTTTTTTTTAAATCTTCCAAATTTCATTTCATTTATGTGTGGGCTGTTAAAGCTGCTGAAAAGTGACATACCATTTTGTTTTTTATGTTGTTTTTTTTCATTGCGATACATCACTTTTTATTTGAAAGCTTCATTTAGTTATTTTCTGTACAGAACGCTTTTGTTGTTGCATACGAAATAAAATTTCATTTTAATCGCCTTCACTGTTTAGTTTCCTACTCCCAGCGTTTTACATTTTGTTTTCATGCACCAGGTCCTCATCGTGCTGTGCCATGTGATGACTCATTTGGGCTCACGTCCTGTCCCTTGAGCTGTGTCCTGTGTCCTTCGTGCCTGCCCTACCACTCTGCATGTCCCCTCCTCAGTTCTGGAGAAATGGGTTCTATACAAGCATCTCCCATTCTTTTTATGCCTGTTGCCTTCTACCGTGGGTGTTTTTCCCCAAGGCACTTACCAAAGTAGGTGGTATTGTAGCCCCAGGTCCTGGCAGAGCAGGAGTTCTGCCCAGGGCTACCCACAAGCCAGAGGTGAGACCCATAGAAGTGCAGAGAATTTACAGGTTCTAATGGATGCTGTCCCACAGGGACTCATGTTCAGTGACTGTATCTTATGCATCCCTCCAACAGCTTGGTTATTTCCTGTCTGCACACTTCAGTGACATTGATTTCATTTACCAGGGTATTATAAGGACCTTTAGAGTGAAGTTACTGCTAAAACAATGTTACGTTGAACTGAAACGTAGGATTTCCATAGTACAGCCACCATTCCATGGTTACCGAGTGTGTCCTTGGCCTGTAAGAACTTGAAAATCGGTTTGTCAACACTGTAGATTTGCAGGTTTATAATTTCATTGCAGAATCTCCTAACACTGAAAACCTGGAATGGTAGCTGAGTTTTTGACAGCACATCAAGAGCAGTGCTGTGAGGGTATCGTGCTGGGCCCTGCAAAGGCCCAGCAGGCACTACAGAGGCTTGGTGAGGATTGTGGAGTCACCTGCCTGAAGCAGGGATGGGAGCAGATGCTCTGGGAGGTCCTACTTGTCTCTCCGTTAACTTCTTTTCCCGTGCAGCTCCTGACTGATCCTGCAGTGTTGCCAGATGATGGAGTTTGACACGCCGTTTTCCCACAGCAGTGCTGTCCTAGGCAGTCGCCAGTTAATGTTGCGGTGCTTCTTTCTTTGGCTGACAGAAAAATAAGCTCTAAAAAAAACCCAATGAAAAACTTGCCCCCAGATTATTTCCAGTGGCATCTGCCTGATGAATGATGCTCATACCTGAGCAGTGCTGTAATAGGCTGACTTACCACCACCAATTTTAAATGCTTAAAACAGGTAGCATAAATACTCTGTCCATCATCACTATGTAGTATAAATACTGGTCCCATCATCCTGCAGAGATCAGAGTACAGAAGGAGTCAGTGTGTGTCTGGTGCAGTGCAGGCACTCAGCTTCCTCTCCTGTTGCACCCCAGCACCTGTCTTTGGCTGAAGATGTAATACCTCAGCTGATCGGTTTCAGATGAGAGTTTATAGCCCATATTTTCAATTTGATAGCAGGAATTTCATTACACTCGCTCTGCAGACCAAACTTTATTTCACCTGAAGTTATTTTTTTATTGGAAGAATAAATCTTGATTGAACAGTTCAATTCATATCTCTGTCATTAGTCGTCCTCTTCAGTGCACTGATAACTGCAGTTACCTGACGGGAGTTTCAGGGACTTGAAGTAATCATGTCATTCTTGAAGTTAATAAAGTGCTTATTGTAGTCTTGGGGGCAAAATGTCTCTGAATAAAACATGGTTAAAGTTTACTACCATTTGTTAGAACTCACTGTTACCAGAAGGCTTTTTATTGAAACAGTCTTTAAGCATGGGAAGGGCACTTTCTCTAATAAAGCTATTTTCAGAGGTCTCTTTTAGGAAAATGGTGAGCATAGAACTATAGAGGTTAATATTATATTCCAGATGGGAATGTTGTTCTTTTTCACAGTAATAGTTTCATGTATATGAAAAAGCTTATTTAAAGACCTTACTGTGCACATAACACATTTCTAGTCTACTTCATGGACAGGCATTGGAATTTTTTTGTCTTTTGTAAAAAAGAGGGAAAAAAAGGGCTACTAGCAGTCTAAGAAGTACATTTTAAGTCTAGTGTTCATATATATATGCCATGCATTTTATGAAGCTACTCTCTAAGCTGGTAGTTTCAGGAAAACTGTACAGCTTCATGACAGTAGCAGTCTGTCTGCATTCTTAGGAACAATCAAGTGGCATCAGCTTTACAAGAAAAATACATGACAGTTCAGGCAATGCCTCTGCTCAACTTGGATTTATGCAATGCACACATCAGTTGCCTGCAGGTGTCCCGAAGAAAATGAAGATTTTTCCATTTGGGTTAGTTTTTGTGTTTTTAACCTGCACCTGCAGTATTTAATAAAAAAAAAATTCAAGCATTTGACTGTGTCCATTAAAAACACCCGTGTGGAGGTTTAAAGTAAGGATTTCAAAATTGTCATGCTTTCTAATCTCGTTGAGTAGGTTTCTAGAGTTGTATTGTTGGGAACAGAGCTACAGCTATTTTGTAAATATCAGTAAAAGAGCAAGAACTAAATGAATGGATACTGTTCACCTAGTTCACCTTGATCTTAGTATGCCAGAATGAGAAGTGTTTATAAAAACACTTACAAGACAAAAATATAAACGACTGCACATGTAAAAAAAAAATCTAAAACATACGTTTTGTGATAGTGTATAATACTGAAATAGAGAGTTCCCTCCACAGTGAACCAAATGAACTGGCAGTGTTATAGAAAGGATTAATTACTTGGGCTTTCTGTGGGCAGACATGTTCGAGAACTTAGAGGGTGTTAAAGAATAGCAGTAGAAATTATGTAATGGCTTGAAAGAGAATTCAGATTAAATGTTAAGAAAGCAATTTCTGTGTAGATTATTCTAAGCTCTTATACCAAACATGGAGGTTATGCAAGAAAACCTGGAAGGGCATTTTCAGTCTGGACAACATAAAGTTACATTATCGCCAAGTCCATATGTGTTTCTGTATGTGCCACTTGCAGCTTTAGAACCCTTTGGCCAATTCATCTCACTGGATAGAGAGGGGGAGAAGATAAATAGTTTATGAAAATACACTGCTGAGAGGGGCTAAAGAGTGATTCCAGTCTCCTGAGGTGATGGCTTCAACCAGAAAGGGAGGTCCTGCATATCCTAGTTAGCAAAAGCTTTGCTTAGAGCACACATCTTTAAATGTCAAGTCCAACAGAACAGGGGAGGACAATGTACAAAACTTTTGAGTTCTGAATCTCACAAAAGTATATTTCCTTTCTGATCCCTGTGGCAGTCTGAAAAAGTGACGGTTTTCTGTCAGTCACTATGATCAACATTTTACCAGGAAAATGTAAATGGCACCTAAGCCTCTCTAAGCATGGGAGTCAGTGTACAGTTTGAAGACAGGATGAAGGACTGGGATTTACATTGCTGAGGCAGGAGGGTAGTTCTGGATCCAACCGTCACATTTTTTCAGTTAAAGTTGGTTTGTTCTTGGGGCTGTGTTTTTTTGGTTTGTTTTGGATGCAGAGTAAGAAACAGTAAATGTCTTACTTGGAAAGAACACAATCTTAGTATTTCCAAACCAAAGTAGTGTGAATGTGGTTTTGAGATAGAAAGAAAAACAAAAAGGCAGAGCATGAGCAGAACTGTGGGTGCCCCTGAGGAGCTACTCGAGATTGGAGGAGCAACAAGAACAGCATACTTTGCTGTCATCTTGGACAAGTCACAGCTTCCCAGACTGACATTTCCCACTTCTAATCCTCCTCCTACACTTCTGGGGTCTGAAGATCATGCACGTTTTATAACTGAAGCCATGTGTCGTAAATCTCCTGATGAAGGAAGTACAAACCTCATGTAGCAATGTACTGTATGTCAAACGTTATTTTTTTACTATATATGTACGTATGTGTCCCAGCATTTTACAACTGCTCATATGTTGCAGAAAGACCTATTACCCAGACTAAAGAGTTGCTGAATCACACAGTATCTTAAGTCTAAATAACTTTATAAATAGTCAAGGTTGGGCTCAGTAGCAATTCCTAAGCCACACTGAATAGAACATGTAACAGCTTTCTTGGAAAAAAGATGCTTGGATGGTCTGAATATCATCATCTGATTGGCTGTTGTATTAGTTGTGTTATAGTTTTTAAGATTTGCTTTTTTTTCAGTTGAGTGTTAATATTTTGTTAAAAGATTAAAAACCCTATAGTCATTCTAATGTGAAAATGCCATTAAGAACTTCATCTACATTCAGAAACCTACAGTCTTTTAAACAACACAAGTATTTGCTGGGGCATGATTTCATTTTTTGACTTAAAGCTATTGAAGGGATGGGATTAGATAAAACATGCTCTGCTTGCCCTGTAGCTTGTTTGCAAAGTTGATTTGAAGCATTAAAGTGACAAAATTATTAAATGTGTTGGATAAATCTTAGGTAGAAGATTGCAAAGCCAGACAGGGTGTATTTGGTAGAGTTATGGCATGAAGCAATCAGGTCTGCATGAAGGCAGCCCTCGGGCTGTCTCAGGGAAGCTGAGAAACATTTCAAAAGCAGAGGAACACTGGGCACCCTTCAAAGCTACATGGAGTTAGTGCTCTTCCCACCGCATGGAAAATTGGTCCTGTTGAAGTGCACACCATCAGCACTGGCAGCTGGATGGTGCATCAAGCAAGGACCCAACATGTGCCTTTCTGTGCTCACGTACAAGCGTCACTTGATTTTGTGGATGGAAAGTATGTTGTTGTCTCCCTTTGAAAGTGGTTTGTTTCATCCCCGAAAGTGTGGAATCCAGTCGCATCACCTACTGGTGTGTGTGCTGGGGGTGCTGGGATTTTTAATAGCACAAGGTATCTTGTTCATTTGACAGTGGCATCCAAATTGTTATGATTTACATTTATATACTGTGTATACTGTGTATTTAACAGTTTTGTGCGTGTTATGCTTCTAAGTTCCCTGTGCCATCAGTTTCATCTGTAATTTGCATGGGTTCTTCACAGTAAAAAGCTATGGCAAATAGTATTTTTTTAAATAAGGAAATAATTATAAAAGTTTAAAAATCAACAAGGAAGATTTAGAAGTAGGAGACATGAAATTCCCCTATAAAATTATTTTGATAATGAAATGTCTATTGTGTCTCCCTTTGGCCTGATTATCTTTAATTGAATTGAGTCTTTTAAATCACAAGTGAGGCCTTATGGATAATTTAGAAAACTATTCCCTTTAAATACAGCTTCACCTCTTACAATTATTTTCTACTTTCTTAATATCTCTCTCTTTTTTTTAAATAAAGAACATTTGCATAAGATGTTTTAAAAGGGTTTATCTACCCTGCTGCTTCATCCCCACCTCAGTGATACTGCTCTCTGCACGACACCACACTTGTTTCCACAGTGACCTACTGCTACAGGGCATCACTGCTGGAGCAGTGGGACTTGTAAATAAGATGCTGTGCTTTCCATAACAGACTGTGAATAATTCCCCAAAATTTAAGTGCAAGATAACAGCTTCCTCAAAGTTAAGGTAATCCAAGAGTGGGTTTGGTCAGCGATGGTGTACCCTGGCAGTTTCACTAAAGAACTCGTAGAATGTGTGCTCTCATCTACAAGAAAAAAGTGTTTTTAATAGTAGGACTTCACAAATTATTGATACCACTTCCTAATAAGTATTTACTACAGTTTTCTCTGCTCAGGAATTTAGCTTCCTATGATGGTGTTTCCCAGCAGGACCAAATGTTAAATAAATTTTTCTCTTGCGTTTCACAAAAATCTTTGCAGCTGGCTACTCAGAGAAGTAAAGTTGGTTATTTTCAGTGCGGTTTCAAACCTGGTTTTCATTTCCTTTTTGTGAGCACACGCAGCCTGTCCCAGCACCAGTCGGCAGTGTCCAGGCTGCGTGTGCCAAGGAGGGGGAGTTTTACAGCTGGCACCAGGGAGTGAGCTGCAGCCCAGCCTGGCACATCCTGTCTCTGGTGCTTTCATCCAACGCGTCCTGCCGCCAAACTCCATGGTGGAGTAGCTGAGTAATTCAGTTCAGACCCACTCAGTGGAAGGGAATGCAGGTGCATGTTCAGGCTCGATATGGAGACAGAAAGCAGGATGTCAACTACACAGAGAGTAAAACAGTGAACTCGATGGCAAAATTGTTGAATTGATGGCAGAAAGAAAACAGAATAATGCGTGAGCTTAAATTTATCGAGGCTCATGTGCCTTTCAGTTGGATGAAATCACCTGTAGCGCCATTTCAGGCTGTCTGCAGTCTTACACTAGCATCTGTACATCCATATATGCTTCCTCCCCTTTCTTGTTTTATATTACCTCTGCCTAGAAAGGCTAGAAACCTCTAAACGTTTTCCCTCTAAAATGCCAAAGATAATACGCCCCAAGCTATGTTCAGTCTCCTTTTTTACATTGCTTTACCTCAGACCTTTTTAAGGAGAACAGCTTGAGGGGCCCTCACTTTTCTTTCTCTTTCATTAGTCGCTTGGTAAAATCAGGTAAAATACTATTTCTTATGGCAGTAGCCAAAAATCTATACTGAGCAAACGCTGCAGCCGTATATCAGGGTGTTGGATGTGTGGTGGTTTATACACTAATATGCCTTTGCATAATATTGAAAGATCAGGCTCACAGCAGAAAACCAATATCTTGTTGGAGTTTCTCTTGAGCAGAGAAATAAGAAAGACGTTGGGGTTTCTTCCTGTCGGAGATGCTGATTCATAGGGTATTCAGGCAAGTTTTATATATACATATATATATACCTGCTAAAATCCATGCTTTGTTAATTACAAGCCAGCTTTTTCTCTTCTTAAGATATTTTAACGGTGTAATTTTACTCGAATTTTATAGGAGTAAAATTGCTGGGAGTAAATTGCTGTACGTAAACCCTAACTCCTAGCACTGCAGATCGTAAGTGACTGAGGATTGAGTTTACAGACTTAGTATTTACAGCCCAACAGGTTACTCATTCATTGGTGGTGGTGCATTTACAAGTAGAGAAAACGGGTCAGCTACACCTGCTGCAGCTTTAGGCTGCATGTAAAAAGGTGAAAAGTAATTGAAGAAAAATGATCATTGTATCTTTTTTTTCAGGGAAGCTTGGTCGCTTTCCACTGAGGATGCATTCCCACGCCACTCCTGACGGCCAAGCTGCCCCTCATTTTCCAAGGTCTCACCTAGCTGAAGCAGTTGCCAAAGCCAAGGCAGGTGGAGGTGGTAGTGGAAGCACTGGTGGAACTGGGAGAGGTCTTGTGGGGCAGATTATCCCTATATATGGATTTGGCATCTTCTTATATATCCTGTACATTTTATTTAAGGTAAGACAAACATAAATTGAAAAGTCGGGGAAATAACAAAAAGCTTTGGAAAAGAAATGATGCTCTCAATTGTGTACCTCATTCCTGTTCAGCTCTGCTCAAAGAAAATGCTTATTTTGGACTTTTGACTGGTAGTCAAAAGATTGGAGTACCCTGTGGGTTTTGCTATGGCAAAGACTGTAGCACAGGGACAAGTTGCTCTGATCCTGCATCAGCCTCTGACCTCTTACAATTTTTTAAAGGATATTTTTTCCCCCCTGGAAATGTGTATGTCTAGAACAATGTTAGATTAATTTTGAATATACACATAGTATTCTTTTCCTTTATTTGTGACTACATATTCTATGTAATGTGTATGTCATGTGTTGCTTTATGTATTTAAAGTGGCAGAGAGGGATTAGAGCAACTGTGTACCTTTTAGAACTAAAGCACCACTTTTTGGGGGAGTGGGAGTTTGTAAGATTGTATTGACCATGATATAAATGCACTAGCTGAGGAATGGGTTGAAAGCTAGTTAAAAAAAATTCCCCTCAAGTATTTCACATGTGATTTTAACTTCTCATCGATTTTTGTTACACAGACATGATTTGCATGTAGGTGATGACAGTCGGCTATGTGGGAGGAGGGAGAAGTGGACTTTTGGAAATGTGGGGTTTTTTTTCCTTTGAATAGAAACAGCCTGAGCAGTATCCAAAGAGTTGAGTCTGAGCTGGACAGAGTAAAGAATGAATTGGGTGAACCAATCACAGAGATGAAAAAAATAGCCTGCAGCTTCTGTCCAGAGAAGGGCAACAGAGCTGGGGAAGGGTCTGGAGCACAGCTCTGATAAGGAGTGGCTGAGGGAGCTTGGGGGTGTTGAGCCTGGAGAAAAAGAGGCTTGAGGCGGCCTTATGGCTCTCCACAACTACCTGAAAGGAGATTGTAGACAGGTTAGGGTCAGTCTCTCTCCCAAGTAACAGCAATAGGACAAGAGGAAATGGCCTCAAATTGCTGCACCAGGGGAGGTTTAGATTGGCTATTAGGAAAAACTTCTTCACTGAAAGGGTTGTCAAGCACAGGAACAGACTGCCCAGGGAAGTGGTTGAATTGCCATCCCTGGAGATATTTAAAAGACATGTGGATGTGGCACTTGGGGACCTGGTTTAGTGGTGGACTTGGCAGTGTGAGATTTACAGTTGGACTCAATGATCTTAGAAGTATTTTTTAGCCAGCCAGTGTCTGTGCTGCAGGTACAAAGTTGGGAAGGAGTAATGGCAGAAACCGTAGCAAGAGGGACGAGTAGGGTCACATGTAGTTCCTTCAGAGCCTGCCCTTCATTTCACAATAATTGCCAAATGAGGTTTTTTCCCTCCTATACACAGAATAACGGAATGGAAAATTCAGAAATTATTTTTTATGAGTTATCTTCTCACTGTGCTTAAAAATATAATTTTTTTCCAAGTGTCTTTCAGAAGTTTTCAGCGGGCAAGATCTCTTAGGCACATTTCACAGTTGTCTGTTTTTGCTGCTGGGCATGCTTTTCTGTGGTTACCTTCTGACATGTTTTAGTTTTCTGTATTTTTTCCTGTTGCCCTTGGGGCTTATATAGTACTATTGTGGTATTTCACAGAAGGGTCATCTTTTTTCACTCCCCAGCTGGCTTCCAAGGGAAAAACTACTCCTGCAGAGCGGAAATGCCCAGCTGCTACACCTGGAAACATGAAGAGGAAAATTAGTGAGTATGACTTCGAGTTATATCTGTGTAGCTGTTGGCATGGTCCATGGTTCTTCAAGTTCTGGGCACACTCTAAAGCTGCTGTTTGCCCCCCATAAAGAGCAAGCCAGAAGCTTCTGTGTTAGAGTGAGCAAGAGTTAAAGTGAATTACTTCACTGTCACTTTCTAATCTCATTCAGCTAATGAGACTCTGCAATAGCAGCTTGATCCCAAGCCCCTCTGGAAGGAATGGCTTTTCATGAGGTTCGCTGAATTAACTGTACGGATTTGCTGAAAAGCTGTGTAGCTAATGATTAAAAATGGATAATAGGATGTCCATCTGTAATTATTCTGTAATCCGTAATAGTCTAGTAATAGTACAGAGATATATTATAAAAGCTAGCTTCATTTCTTTGAATTTGTGAATTCTTAGCCTTTATCAGGCACTCCCCTAATTTGTCCCTTCCTTTTTTTTTTTTGCAATGAGCAAAGTTTTCGTAGGTGCAATAAAGAGATCAAATAGTATTCTGAAGTGTTATTTTGATGTTGCCTAAACATTGGTGAGAATAGGTTCAACTATTTGCAGACACTTATTAGATAAATTAATAAGCTTGCTATTGAAGATTGGAGGAGTACTTACAATAACAGTATTTAAACGTGTTGTGTTTAGCTGGCTAAACTGTATTAGGAAGGAAAAGTACTTAGTGTTTTACAGAAACTGCTATCAGTAAGGTAATTCTCTTAACATAGCTGTAATTATCTTGACATTAATGTGCATATTAGGAATACCTAATGTACTCAGTGCTATAGATTGTGTTTTCAGTGCATTGTTCCTGGAAATTTTGTGCAGTTTATTAGCACAATTATTAATTGTATTTTTTTTCTCTAATGCTTTGTAAGAGAAACTAAGTTTGCAGTAAGTTAAACATATACCAGTGTTATAACCCAAGGAACTAGCGATGAAAGTTATTCTGCCTTTCTCTAGAGCTCTTCATTTATATTCCTAAAGCATTCATGGCAAGCTGTAGCAGAGCAGGGGACAGGTCACTGGACTAGGAATCTGAAGGCTGAGTCACTACTTACATAGTGACTTGGATGGAGTAACTTCCTTTCTCTTTGCCAGTTTCCCTTCCTCTGGGTTTAAAGTCTCAGACATGCAAAATAATTACATCAGTGATACATTAAGTAATGACATTCTGTGCAGAATAGAAATCTTTCTTAAAAGATGGATGCTTGTGGATGGATTTCTCCATTCCTACTATGCTGGAGTTCCATTGTGCCTTTGCGCTGCTTAAATACGTGTGCCCGTAGCAGCTGAATATTTAACTCACCCAGGCTGGTTTCAGTTTGTTCTGCAGTGGGGAGCAATGGAATCTCAGTTATGGGATTTTGAGCGCAAGCCACAAAAGCCCAACAAGGAGCTCAGGCATTTTTGTTGACATCCATGCTGCTGTATCTTGACTGTTAATGCTTTTGGCCAAATGAAAGCCAGTATATGAGTGTTCCTGCACGTGTGTCCACTGTCGTACTATAGCCACAGTTTTTGGAAAAGGGTGCAACCATGGCAATGGTGTGCTCTGCTCCCCAGGCAGATTCCATGGGACACTGATGTTGTTCATCCCAGTAAGCCTGGCACACCTGGGCAGGGCTGGATCAAGCCATCAAGCCCATGAACTTGATTCTCTTTGAGAAAGAAGTGGTTTCTCAAACCTTGGACTCATTAGAAAATGCTCAAATGACCTTTTGTATCTGTTCCTAGAGTCCTAAGAGGGAAAATCCATGAGAACTATTAATTCTGGAGTAGACAGCAAACCACTATGGTTTCCTTAGGGAAAAAAACAAATAAGCAAACACACACAAAAAAATATTTTTCCCCCTAACTTCAGTCTCCAGGGCCCACCCAGTTATTGGGAGGTAGCTTGGGAGCATTTGAAAGAAGGTACTTTCTGTGTGTCCTGTTACCATTGGCAGTAGTCTTCACCTTCTTAGGCCAAGGAAAGTAGGTAGAAATCTCTAAGCTGCATGTTTTAGTTTCCTCACAGCCGGTTTGGTTTGGTACAGCATATGCTACCTGTGATAATGGGACAGAGATACATTTTCAAAGCTCTTGCTGACAGATCTTGGGATGGTTTCTTTGTTTTACAGCTGACTATGAGCTCACTCAACTCCAGGAAAGACTGAGAGAGACAGAAGAAGCTATGGAAAAATTAATCAACAGAGTAGGACCTATGTATGACAGGTGTGTATCAAATTACAGCATTTTAAGGAGAGATCCTGCTCTGATTAGAAATTAAACTTTCTTCCATTGTCTATATTAAAATAGCATTTTTATTGCTACTTTAAACTGTAGAAATCTGATTTTAGACATCACACTTTTTGTTCTGCAGTTTTTCCCTTTCAGCATCAATATGTAAAATAAATAATTTTTTCCAACTTCATTTTCCTTAAACAGAATAGCAACTACCTCTACCTTTCCCTTTTTTACAGTGTGTTGTTTGGAAGAAGATGACAGGTATGTGTAAACAGAAGATAAAACCTCTACAGTTAAAGTACATAAAACAACCTGTCTTATGTGACCAAAGTAATATCCTGAATTATTCTTTTCCAGTTCAATGGATTATTTTTCCAAATTGAAATGCTGTTATAATCTATGTAAATTCCTGTTAGAATAGGCATAAAATATTTCTTTAAGGGCAGAACTGTATAATATCTGATTACATAACTTAGTTCCACCCTCTAAATTCATGCATTTGCTTCTAAATATAAAAGACAAAAGAGTTGTAAAATTGGCATTTAAAATTTTATTATGTTTATTAATATTTGCTAAAAACCTGGTACCACTATTCTGCATTATAAAGAAACACTGGAAACAAGTCTATGTTTTCCATAAGGAGTGTAAAGAACAGATCAGTAGGACAGTGCATAACTGCAGTGTCTGAAAAATGGAAATACCATGAATATTAACGTGAGTTTTGCAATCAAAACCAAGAGCTGTTCAGGTTGTAATGCATGTTAACTTTGTCTGGGCCAGCCAAGGCCTGTTTTAACCCATTCTGTAGGAACAATTCTGTGCTGAACTTGCACATTTTGTTCATTTATGCTTCAAAGTGTGTAGTTTTGCCCACTCTGTGCCATGCCCTGTACTGCAGCTGCACTCAGCTCAGGCAGACGAGGTGCTGAGCTTGCCCATGTTCAGCCAGGTTCCAGCAGGAGAACCCCTGAGCTGCCCTGGTTTTGTTAGTGAACAGAAGGATACCACTGTGACTATTACTCCTCCGTGTTTTGGAGAGCTGACACAATGCTCTGTGCGCACCTTTAAGCTGACAGAAATAGGCTTATGAGCTGCCCAGACTTTGTGCTGACTCTCAGGATAGGATGTTTTTTTATGGAGAAAATCGGTTTAGGGTCTGATCCAGTATTTGTTCCACTCTGTGTTATTGGCTCAAAGCCTCTATTTAGTAGAACTTCCCTTGTTTGTTCAACCAAACTATTTATATAGATGGATCTAAAGGTCTCAGGGGAAATCAGAATCTGAATCTAATAAAGAATTTTGTATGCAGCCTCTTTGAAGAGGAGGGGGGAAGCACCTCTTGGTGGAGCAAATAGCTCTTTTCAAATACAATCAGATTTGGAAGCTTTCTTAACCTACACTGTGATACTCATTAAGTTCAGTAATACTGGATGAATGTATTAAATCCTATGGTAGAAAGTGTATTTAGAGCACAGAGTACTGAGCCTGGCCTATTCAGTCTGAATGTTGATAGATTTAAATAAAAAGGAAAGAGAAAGAGAGTGAAAATTATTTGAGCTTCATTTTTTAATATGCAGTTAAACAGAAATCCTTGCAACAGAAAAGTCAAAGGCAGAAATAACTGGTATCAAGTTTAAAGTAATGCTGAAAGACCCCAGATGAGACCATGTCCCTTTAGACTAGATATGGCAAAGCAGCAGCCAGCTGGACAAGTGAAGTATTAGTAACCAAACCAAAGGTCATATTTTGCATTGTCACAAAACCTGATGTATCACCATAACCCACAGCGCTTGTCAGAGTGCTGAGGTCTGAGCTCATGCCTCAGTGTCCTCTCACTATACCTCAGAAGCATTCTCCTCCTGGATGAACTGCTCCAGGATTCATTCTGGCTTTCTCCAGGTGAAGATTCTTACAATCCAAAGACATTCTAATTTTGTGTATTTTCTTAAAAAAAAAAAAATTGCTCTCAAAATCTGGATGAGTTGGGAAGGATAGTTTATTCTCAGAGAATGCTGTACCATGGAAAGAAATTCTGTTTCAAAGAAATAATATATACTGTCCTGTTTACCAGGCTGTCAACTGGAAAAACTTTCCTTTTTACTGTAAACTGAGCAAATGTGATATGGAAGAGCAAGACGGTCTGTGGGGTGCCATTTTTGGGCGGTAGCTGCATTTCAATAATGATTATTTTAAGATCAAGCTAAAAAAACACCAGTTAAGATGTCTGAAATGCCATGTTAGATTATGGATTTTCAGTGCAGTCATGATGGCTCTTCAGGAAATGTTCTACCTCAGAGTAAGAATAAGAAACCTTTACTTTACCTGTTAGTGAACACTTTGGGACTCTACAAAATTTTAGCATTGCCATTATGAAAAGTAATGGTTGTGTTGGAGCTACAAATACAGAGAGCAAAAGTAATGACCTTTTCTTATACTGTAAATTTGTTGTCCTCTTAGTATTCCTAAGAACATTATATCCTGGTAAATCTCTCATATGCAGGGCAGCCAGATGTCTTACACATTGCCAGCATCCCACAGTAAGTCTTCCCAGAGGCCTTAAATAGAGTGGAAATAACATGAACTTTAGTTTCTCCCTCTCTACAGGGAAATTTGTCTGTTAAGGAAGGTGTTTGGAGGAGGAATAATCTGAAATACAGACACCTTGTGTTGCAATAAGACAGGGGTATTTTCTAATGAGAGTATCCTGCATATTAGGAATTTTCCTGTATGAAGTGCTGCAGTGATGCAGCTGCATTGATTGATCCTATTATCTGAGCTAGCGTATCTTTCCATTTTGCTAAACAGATGGGTCTCTGTCTTCACCCAAGTGATATATATTCAAATTAGGTACAGTTTTGTCTGTAGAATTAGTTTGGCAATTCTGTTACAGCTTCAATCAAAGGCAGTTAGCTGATGAAACCATTCCTTTTTTTGGAGCCTTTTAATTCACATCTCAAATTCTACATCTGTATAACCCAGACTTATGAGAAGATGCTGCCTCACAACTTCACTTGTTTTGTGGAACAGATTGCCAGCACAACTTGACAGGACTCAGTGTAGCCTCCCTATAGTGTTGGGATATCAACTTCTCAAACTGTGTGGCTTAGTGCCCCTCAGGGGAAGTGCAGATAAGGGATGTTTTGCCTTGTGATCTCAGTCAAACAGTTTAATCTGAGTAGGTGCTAATGAAACCAGCAGGCCTGCTCCTGAGCTAGGTTCAGTTACAGTCACCTGTGTTTGCAGCTATGCACAAAAAAAATCTAGTTCAGGATCGGAACTCCCATCACCATTGCACCAACCAGCAGTAGGATGCTAATCTTGGCTTTGAACCAGTGTTACTGTGCCTTTAGTGGAGTAGCCATTGTGTCACTCATCATTCCTCTATATGTAGAGTGGCACAAAGTACCTATTGGAATGCTGCTCTAGTCCCAACAGCTGGTAAGAGGAGAAACTGAGGATGAACACTGCAAGTTTATGAGAATTCAGGTAACTGAAACAAGGTTTAGATAGATACTAACCACCTAAAGCCAAAATCATTAATCTGTTTCCAGCTCCTCTCTTCTCATTTCATTCCTAAGATTCACTGAGCATTCAGTCTTGGAGATTATGTCTGTCTGATCTCCAGTCCAGAGATCACCAGAGATCATCTCTCTGACCTCACACACTGCCTACAGTTCAGCATTCTGTGCATGCCAAGGCCCACCCTCTCCAAGGAACTAGGAGCAACAGATCCTGACTAAAACACAGGAGCAAGAGATCCCAACCAAAACACAGCGAGATCCAAAAGAGCGCTAGAGTAGTACCTCAGATCCCTGAGACTCTTGAACTGGCACTTACACAAAGATCAAACACCTGCTCAAGGACAACTTAAAGCTCAAGATATCATAATTTTAAACTTGAAACTCAAGATGAAACAAGCACCATCAGTCAGAACCATTTTCACCCCTAAGTATAGCCAATGTCTTTTTTACTCTGACCTACCGAGTTAGTAGAGCACAGACCACCACCCTCCAAATACTCCTTTTTTGTCAATAAGATTTTTAGGAGCCTTTTTCTTTCAAGAGAAAATAACGTGTAATGACTACATGATCTTATCTGTTGGAAGAATTACTTACTGTTACAGCAGTAAGTAATTATATTACCTGAGCTGTAGTAATTATTAAACTCAGCAGTGTAGAACCAGTCAAAATCATATTTTGCTTTTAATCTGATAAAAATCTCAGTCCTCTCCCACTCTCTAATCATAAAGGGCAAGTTAAATGTAACACCTTCTTTTCATTTTTAAATCTTCCTTCCTGCTTCTACCCCCCCCTCCCCACCAGGCAGCAGTGTTGACTCTCTATAATAACAGCATGATCTGTCCAGTTGACATTTCTTAATGAGGCCTTGCAAATTGAATGGTCATAATGAGGGATCATAAGAGTCTTGAGAATAATGATGTTTGAGTAATTTTGATCAGCCCACACAAGCTACAAATGTAGCATAGGTTCAGAATTACATTTCCTTATAATGCTTCAAACAGGGCACTGCACCCTAATTCTTACCTAACAGTTTTATAAAGGCAAGAAATTTCTGTAGTGTCTCTTGCTTGTGTGTCACTTTGATCTTGCAGGCTTTACCTGCCTTCCTTTACCTGCTTAAGTTTGCAGACTTTCTGGATAAAGGAGTGAACTACACTGTGCTGAAGTGCAGAGCACATGCACATGTTGAGGAGTGATCATACTACAGACAGGTGTCTTCAGACTGTGCTGCTGGGAAGGACCAAACAGTTGGGTTCAAACTCTTTTAACAGTTTGTAATAACAGTGGACTGAACTCTGGTGTCTAATATTTTCTAGCAGGACTCAAAATGTTACAACAGACCAGGAAAAAATGTTGCTTCAACAACTCCGAGAAATAACTAGAGTTATGAAAGAAGGAAAATTCATAGATGACATCTCTCCTGAGAAGGAAGCTGAAGAAGCTCCTTACATGGAAGATTGGGAAGGTAAGCGAGAGCTTTTTGTACCGTAACCCTTTTGAGAAAAATTGAATAAGGATTACTTTTGGTCCCAAATACTTTCAAAGTTTTGGTTAACTTTATCCTTCCTTTCCAGAAGTTAGTGTTCAAACCTTTGCAAAAAGTTTTTTTTTTTCCCCAACCATAATGGAAAAAAAAATAGATTTTGAGGCACCAAGCATTGCCTTTAGTGTAAACACTACACTATCTGATGGCAAAAGTGGCATATGAATATTCACATACACTCCATCTGCTGCTGGGGCTTGGCTGCTCTAGTTTTATATCTTTCCCTGACTTTGCTGTGCTGGATTTCACAACAATCATAGACCTCTTGGAAATCATAATTATTATGTTTAAGATAAATTACAGTTTTTACTTTTGATTAGTCATTTTTTGTTAGCTCTAATGTTGTAAAAGCCAACTGCAGGAAGTCTGTCTTTTAAAAATTATTTATTTTAGTGTCCATTCCATTCCTTGGTGTTTACCTGTTATATAAATGTGTTTTCAAGATGTCTTAATTGAGCTGCTCACTACCATTATTTTAAGTGCAGACTTAATTTCTTGCTTTTTAAAAAGCTTTCAGAAATTATCCAAAACATAAAGCATAAACAGTGGCCTTGAGCTCTGTTTATAAAGTGAAGTTCATAATGAAGTTTCTAAAATGAAATGCATAAAGTCATTGACATATCTGGTTTTTCAATTTTCTAAGTAATGCTGTCTATAGCAAAAGTCTTCAAAGCATGAATCAGTCAATCTGTAGACAGGAAAAAAAAATGATCTATTTAAAGATCTAAGACACAATTTTTACCTTTTAGCTCCCATAGCTTTCAGCAAAGCTCAGGTGTTCACTCCTGAAAGTCAGGGTTGATAACCTGGCTCCCTGAAAATAAGTGGTTTTTTTGCCATCATCTCCCAAGAAGTCATGTTTTGCAGATTCTTGCCATGGATTTAATACTGCAATGTACACATGGCATTAAATAGCTGACACACTGGCAGTGCTAAAAACAATTGTTCTATCAAACTTTGCATTCATCACTTAAGTCTGTACTACTTTTAAATGCTTCAGCCTTCATATCACTTTATTCCTAAGGTTATCCAGAAGAGACCTATCCTGTCTACGATAACTCCAACTGCTGCAAGCGCAAACAGGACACAATCCTTGTAGATTACCCTGACCTGAGCCAACCCTCTCCAGAAGAGCTGGCAGAAAGAATGGAGGGCATGGAAGATGAGGAGTATCTTTGTGATGAAACCCAGCTAACTGATCTCACCACGGGAAGGGGTGGTCAGAATTTAACACAGAAAAAGGATGAGGCGACTCTCATTGGTGAAGAGAAGGGGAACCTTCGTCACAGCCAAAGCACTGAGGACTGCTGCTGCTGTTATGGGGATGATCCTGCTGTCATAGCAGAGAATGCTGGATTCCACTCTGAGAGCTGCAGTGAGGCAGAAGAGACAACCCAAGAGGACATGTCTGTGGAGTCAGAAAATGAAAATGCAGCACTAGAAGAGCAAAAAGCCAGTGATGCAGATGAAACGGGCACACTGAGAAAGCGCAACACGAAAGGGCTTGATTGATAGGGAACATAGTGGATGTTACCTGGATGGTAAAGGTAGAGGTCATAAACTGTCATTTGTGTGGCTTTTGTTCCCAATGAGGACTTCCCTATGTTCATGTCCTTGTACAAATTTAATTCTCGTGGTACCAGTCATCATCTACCTGAAGTGGAAGCCAATGCCCTCTTTCATGCACTCTCGTCATGGGTTACCATGATGTTGCCAACAGCGCTTTGTCCTTGATTTTTGAAGCCTGGTATCTTGGAGCAGATGATATGGAGCAGATATTTATGACTCTTTCCAGTTCCAAAGGAACAGTCCTTGGTTTTGCCCTTTGTCATCCCAGAGTTAACCAAATGTCTCTTCTGACTTTTTCAAAAATATCTGTGTGCTACCAGTTAGGAAAATTAATCAAATTCTTGTGTGTGTATATATATATATATATATATATATATATATATATATATATATGAGTGTACAGGACGCTGGAGGAGAAAGTATGCCTTCTTTCTTTTACCTGAATGTTACCTGATCAGAACAGATCACAGTCACACATGACTTTCTCAATTGTCATTGCTGCTGTACGCCCAAGAAACTGTTGTCACTACAACCCACAAAACTCATATGCTACCCCAACCCACAGCCCATTTCCCAGTTATTCTCTGTTGCAGGAACAGTGGTCTAATCCACGTTGTGTTACTTGTGTGAGCCAGACTGAAGTGCTGTGAGTTGTTCTTTAACTTTGCCATAGGTGTGGTGAAACTCCCAGGCGAGAGCAGGAAGTGGACTATATAATATGTGAGAGCACTAAAAATATCCCTAGAGATTAAAAACAAAAAAAGCAGCTTTAAGGTTTGTCTATAAAAACAGAGAACAGCATGAGGGTGCCCCTTAGACTGAACCCACCCTTCTTCCTGGAAACCTGCGGGGTTTTTTAACTCTTGGAATGTTGTTGCCACTGTTTTGCTGAGGGGACCCCAGGTATGGGATGAGGACAGTGCTGGAGCGACAGGCTCACAAGGGGAAGTTGGGCGGTCCCTGTGTCCCAGGGACAACCTTTCTCATGCAAGCAACACGGCAGGTGGGAGTGAGCCCCAGGAGAGGAGCCCTCAGTCTCCTCCAATGTTTCAGCGTTTTTCAGACCACAGGCCCATCACAACCAAACCCTGATGTACGGGGCCACACCCAGCCCCAGTCACAACTGACATCACAGTGGCTTGGTTGTGGTGTCACATCACCTCACTGCTCCGGCACTGTAAATGCAGGGCCCCTGATGAATACCTGGAAGGAAGAGGAGCTGGACCAGCAGGGTGGATGGTGCCCATCTTTGTGCAGGACAGGAGCACAGGGCCACTTCCCGTGATGGCAGAAGAGGAAGGCATGTGCCAGGAGGCAGCAGAGGAGAGGGAACAAAATCACGACTCTCTCGAGAACACTGTCACCCTCGCTTCCCTGGTCAAGGCCATGCAGAGCTTGGTTCTGTGCCCAGCAGGGGACGTTGTGCAGCCCAGAGATACCGGCATGCAAGGGAGCAGCCGGAGCAGTGACTGCCAACCTTCACGTGGGACAGCGAAGAGACGCTTCCCACAGCCACCAAAGAAGAAGTCATCTCCCCTGGGCCTGAAACATGGCAATCGACGGTGCAGGAGGAGGAGGAGGAGGAGGAAGAGGACAAAGAAGGGGAAGAGGAGGAGCATCAGCCCTTGCACGCTGAGAACCATTGCCAACACTCAAGCAACGACATCCAGCGCACAGCTCTGGGAACACCGGTGGCCCAACCTCCGCCGCACCTTCATCACTCAAAAATAAACGACAAGACAAAGATAAAATGCTGTCATCCTCTTATTTGGCACTTTGGCGACAGCATCTGTGCTCCTGTGTCCCCTGAAATAGGAGGCTTTTTTTGGAAACCTTCTGTTTCCGTGTCCACACACTGCTTTGCTGGTGCCACCTTAAGTTCTGAGGTTTTTTTAGGCTGTAACATCAACAATTTCAGACTGGCTTTTTTAAATTCAGTAAAATTATCGTAATGAAGGCATTCAGCCCTAGGAACTTCTTCTTTCCAAATGTGCCAGGTAATATTATGGAGGTCATTCTAGGAGTTAGTGTAGATAATGCAGCCATTGGTCATAGCCAACATGGGATCACATGGGGAAGGTGATCACAGCTTCTCAGGAGTGCCTGGCCAGCACCCTACAATCGGCCCAGCCTCCACTCCTGTGATCAGCCCAGCCTCCACTTCTGGCCATCCTCTGGCTCACTCATTCCATCTCCTGGCATCAACAGATTATTTTGCTGATTGCCACGGGTAGTATGAGCCCTTCCTTCCCATCCCCTGCCCCCACGCCCCCTGAAGGGGTGCCAGCTCCCCTGCTCTGAGCCTCAAGAAAAGGGAAGTGAGTTGAATTGGCTTCCACCAGCCTGCTGTGCTAAGGTGACAGCTGTCCCTCAGAGGGTGACTGGCATCTCGGGCCTGGAGGTGGGGTTTCTTCAATCTGAGGACGAGAAGGTTCCCCGATGAGTGAGTGAAGGTGAAGTCAGACCCTCTGCAGCCTTGCATGAAGAATAGTAACAGATCAAGCCAAGAATGTAGGCAGCTGTTCCTTTGGAGAAGCAGCAGACGGCAGTTCTGCCAGGAAGAAGTGCTGGCCTTCAGCATGAAGGGCCCTTTTAGCTGCTTCACAAGGAGTTCTTTTCAAGTTGGGAAATAAATTAAAAAACCCCAAACCAATAAACCAAGAAAATAACAGTAAAAATGCTTTCTTCTTCTCTTAGTTGGGACTTTGGTGACTGCCTATGGATTCCTCTGTCCCCTTCTGGTCTCCCCAGCCCAGGAAGGACTCCGATGCATGTGGTATGGGCCCAGTCCTGGTGAGGAGATGGTGAGGAGTCAGGGCTCATGGCAGGTTGAGGCAACTGCCTCTGGTCATGAGGCTGGGGAGGCACTGTAGCAGGTGGCCCAGAGAAGGTGTGGATGCCCCATCCCTGTAAATACTCAAGGTCAGGTTGGCTGGGGCTTTGAACAGTCTGGTCCAGTGGAAGATACCTGTCAGCCTCACCTCTGTGTTCAGCCAAGTCCTTAAATCGTGCCCCAGTATTCTCAAGGAAATGGTAGGAGATGCGCTGATCACGTTAGAGACCTGCTGTGGGTACAGGTGCAGCCGAGTGTGAGGCTGACACCCTCTCCCTGGATTGTCACAGACTGGCAAGTGCTCACTGGGCATCACCAGAACCACAATGCTCCCCAAGCTATAAACCCAATTCCCGTGGGCAGGCATCCCATTGCACCTGCACCCACCACGGGCCTTCCTGACACTTTGCTTTAACGTAACAGCTGGATTCCTCTGGTCTGCCAGGGCCACCTCCACAGAACTGCACACATCCGGCCCCTGGTGCTGGGTGTGCACTGACAGGGTGGGGTAGGTAGGGGGGCATGGCAATGCCACTCACAGCAGCTGGGGCAACCCATGGGAAGGGCCTGTGCTGCATCCAGAGCCAGCACCCAGCCCTGCTTCACACCCCAGCCCAACCAACCCAGCTGTCAGAGCCAGTCTGTATCCCCCAGTTACAGGTCTGGTTCACAGACTGCCCTCCCCGACGCCGTCCCAACGCGGCAGGTGCAATCATTCCAGACATACCAACAATCCAGGTAGTCTGGGGACTCCATCTGCCAGATATCACTGCAGGAAAGTGAATTTGTGTTGATCAGAAGCTCCTGGTGATGGCTACCATTCTGCCAAGCTGCCACTCCAGGTTAGAGCTGCCCAATCCTCTTGGCACAGTGCTATTGCGTGTTCTTTGGATAACTCTGCTGTACCAGACATTTTCTGCCAATTTTGCAAACCCTCAGCCAAGGGTGTCCCTTTTGCAGTGCTGGGTCTATTTCCCATTGTTTCAGGCACTGAGAGGGACTTAAATCCCCATTTTACATGAAAAAAAGGGACTTGAGTTCCCCTTCTACACATGCCTTACGAGGGACTCTAACCCCCTACACCTGATGAGGGACTCGAAACTCAAGTGCCTTTGAGGGATTATAACCCCCTGCAGGATCTTCAAAATCTTGAGCAAAATGCTTCACCACAGGGCAGAGTCAAACCCACCCTTATAATTTAAACTAAATCTGCACAGGGAATTTTAACACTCACCCTTTGGCTCCTCCCTGCTCCACAGCTCTCGGGGGAACTCACACAGTGCCAGCAGCTGGATGTTTGGAGAAGGGAGACTCCGAAGGTGGTGTTGTAGGGTGCCATCTGGATTGCCAAACTGTTAAGGAAACTTTCCCATCTGACTGTTCTGGAGCCACTCTGGCAGTCACACTCCTGCCACCCAAGACTTTAACTGCTGAAACCGAAGCCCCTTTGCAGTGGGTGGTTCCAGTGAACCAGCAGGTGCCCTGTTTTACTCCCTACACACCCCACACTCACACAGACAAGTTTCCCTCACCAGCTCTACCCTGGTTTCCCCATAGCAGACTGTCTGGTTCCTTTAAGTCATTTAATTGTGGTGCAGGGACATAAGAACTGCTCAAGCTGGGTGCCTCTGGAATTCCCTGGCTTTTGTACGCTTACAGTCTGTGCACCTGTGCTCCTCACATGCCCTTCGCGCCCCTTACACGTGCCTCTTGGTCCCGTGGTGATATTTGGTCTGGGGTCTTCTCATTGTTCATTGGGTTCTACAGTGTTTTTGGGTGATGAGCCACCACCCAGGTGACCAGTGCTGCAGGTCTGGCTTGCCCTTTGTTAGGAAAAGGGTGAGCACCCGGTCAGGCCTCACACACCAAACTACCTGCACCAGGTGTATTCCTCAAGAGAAGACCCACACAATTGTTATTGCTTAATGAAGGCAGCTGGCTGTAATTAGTGAGGACCCTCACTACAGCAGTGGGAAGCATTTGTAGATCCTCATGCTGTGGTGTGGAGTGAGGACTGACAACTTCAGTTGTCCCCTGGGGCTGGAATTGATCAGTATGTCCTTTGGAGCTGTTCCAATTGGCATTGGGAGTTATGTTCTCCTTGTATGAGCAATTCATTTGTGTGTTACATACTAAGCTTCCCAATTACTTATAAAATTTTAATTCCTAACTCCTGTCTGGGTTTTGACCTTGCTGTCTTCCACCCTCCCACAGTCCTTACTGAAATTTTTGGTGGACAAGCAGAAGTCCAGAATTTCTTTTCCAGCCCCTCAGCACGGGTAACGTGGTCCCCACAGACACACCAAACACAAACTGCTCTGGAGTGTGAGTCAAGAACTAATTCTCTCACAGCATTAGTGAAAAAAAGCAAAACAAAATGAAATGAGTTTTCCTTTACTAACACAGAGGCCAGTTGCTAGGACTCACTTTTAACACCTGTGACAGAGCTAATGCTTTTGTATTTCTTTGCAGCACCAACAGGAAAGAATGATACTAATACAGGTAGGCTGTGTGGTGTCAGAGAGTCTCAAGAGCTCAGCTCTGAGGTCTTGATGGCCTTGGCAGCCCCTCCCCTGCTACCAGTAAGTGCTCTCTGAATGCAGCCAGCCATGCCTTGTGCAGCAGCTTAACAGCAGGCTGCAAACTGGAGTTCTTCCTGTTTAGATAACATTTCCTTTTCTCCCTTTGCTTCAGCTTTCCCCCCTCTGAAACGGAAATGTCTACTTAGGTGAGCATTTTAAAAAAGGACCATCACATGTGTGTGCCCAGCTTTCATAATTATTAATTGTTCTAACAGAAAACATTCATAATTTGAAGTAGAGCTTATCTGAACAAAATCAGGATTCTCAAAGAACTTCTATTAAATAAGTAAATCAAAATCATGGGTCAGAACATCAGCAAACCTGGGAATTCAGAAAAAAGTTATAGACACTCAG